TGGACAGAAGTCAGTCTCTTAGCTGTAAGCTGAAAGGTGTTTAATTACAAGCATTACTATGTATTACTACAGTTAAATTGATGAAGCCCAGAATACAGTTAGGGCTGGAACTAGCAATTATTGTTATTAACTATTAATCTCCCTCTAATCAGTTAATTTAAACAAATGATCAGTTTATTAAATGTGTGATCTATAAACTGTCCATTCAAGATGGGAGACTCACTTGCGTCCTCACTGGAGGAGTCTCCATGGATCTTTGACTATTCTAAGTTGTATATTGATGGTGATCTTTGTCCACTGTATGATATTCAAGGCATAGATTGCAGTCAGGTCACTAAGTGACTCACTGTTGCAGTCACTCTCTTGGTGTCTCATGATTCTGACCGTTACTTCTCTCTTTAGTCTTTCGAGTGTGTCACTGAGGCCGATTAGGAAAAGGAGCATCCTCTGTGCAATTGGGCTCCTGATCAATTCGCATCACGGCTGACCGCTGCGTGGTACACATTTCAATTTGTTTGTCTGAAGACTGTTGAGAAAGGTGGGGTTAGATGCTGGTGGGAAGGGGAGCTGCAGCACAGTGACTGGTTTCAGCACTTTCTTGGACAGTAACTGTTACATCACCATTTGGCTCAGTTTCTGGATGTTGGCTAGGTGTCTGTAATCCTTTAAGTCCAGTGCCTGTGAGAATCTGACACCAGCATGTCCATACTGGTAACCTGTTCTTACATTATCCTGTATGTCTCTTTAATACTATTAAATATCTAGCAGTTAGTGTATTCATAAGCCTATTAGTACACACCCCACTTAAGTTCCCTTGGACTTTTGCTTCACCTTGTCATATGAGCATGACATATTCAAATGTATGCAGTTGATGCTTTTTCTGTGGCCTGTCGGTGTGTGAATGTAGCAGCTGAGAGACATGGCACTTGTGAGTAAATGGTCTTCTGTAACACAACCAGCAATAAATGCAGCTTTAATGCAAACTGGTGAATCATAAGCTTCTGGTGTTTTTGAATGAGTTCTCTGTTTTTTTCTTATCATACTTGTGATTTTGTGTGAGAATCTTAGGGCAGCTCTGCTTATTATCCTTGATCAAATGAGTTGGTTCTGATGTTTGTTCTTTCTCTGTGTTGCTAGGCCTTTGGACAAGCTTACTCAACCCACAGGAAGGTGGCAGCAGATGGGGAAAGCAGGGAGGAGTCACTGATCCTGGAGTCTGCCAGTAAGGAGGCTCTCTACCAGCAGAAGGTCCTGGAGCTGCAGAATGAGCTCCGGCAGACCAAAGCCTCCCTCGTCAGTGCACAAGCAGAAAATGATCGCCTGTCCTCCATTATCCTGGAGACAAGAGAGGTGACCATTTGAATACATTGTTAAAATGCAAGATGACAGTATTTGTGCCATTTAGGAAATAGTTCAGCACATCCTGATTTATCGCATCCTATTACATGACATTTTCTTGCAAAGACCATTTATATCAGTGAAACCTGGATCTTGTTGAATCATTTTTCTTGAATCATTTTGTGTTCTTACATGTCAATGGATTTTTTTTGTCATAACTTTAAGAAATCAGTGTTTCTGCTTCATGTGTTTATTTGATGATAATATGGGATTAAAGTTAGTAACGCTGGTAGAAGTTGTGATTTCACCAGTAGTTGTCTGAGGGAGTTGTGAGAGAGTTGGTACTTGGTATGGGGAGCTTCATTAAGCACATTTACATTGAGCCAAGCAGGAAAGATGATGTAATGGTCCACTGTGAGTGACAAAGGACAGCCACCCACCACCAGCGCTCTCTGTAGCAAGCATTAGTAAATGGACCATGTCCCCCTTCCCCCTGTGGTATCTGAAATATGCTTATCTTCTTGACCAGGCCATTGCAAGGATGTAGTTTGCACTGCCTGTGCGATGTGTGACTCCATCAGTGAACACTGATTTTAACTGAAGTTCAGCTCATGCAGCATACTGTAACATGGCATTATCTGTCTCTTTCCCCTCTCTTCCTGTGGGCAGAATTCAGAGCTGGTGGAGATGCAGCGCAGTCAGCTGCGTGATGAGATCAGAGAGTTCAAGGTGCGAGAGGCTCGTGTGCTGCAGGACTACAGCGAGCTGGAGGAGGAGAACATCTCTCTTCAGAAGCAAGTGTCAGTGCTGAGACAAAACCAGGTGAGATGAAGAACTTACAACTGAATTTATTTACCTTGTTACACAACTGAAGGCATGTTAGAATAGTTCTAAACCTAAAGCCTTGATAAACAATTTTTTATCGTGTACTTCCAATAGAAGAACGTAACAAGGCCTATCTTTAAAAAATGTTGTTATTCCATTGCTTTTTTTTGGATGTTGGGAATGGGAATCGGAGAATATTACCCATTGTTTGTATTGTACACTAAATTTTACATTTTAAAAAGCTATGGTTTTATTTCATGGTCAGTAGACAATATTTGGCATCTGTGAGGCACTTTTTTCTAATAGATGAATCACAGTGGACACTACTCAACTGAGTAAAATTACTGATGACCTTACTTACATTTTTGGCCATCTGTACAGGTGGAATTTGAAGGTCTCAAGCATGAGATCCGCCGTGTGGAGGAGGACTCGCAGTGTCTCCACAGTCAGCTGGATGAAGCCATGCGTCTGAGAGAAATAGCTGAGCGACAGCTAACAGAGGCCTTAGAAACAATTAAAACAGAGCGAGAGCAGAAGGCCACCCTGCGCAAAGAGCTGTCCCACTATATGACCATCGGTGGCTCTGTGTACAACAGTGCTTTCAATATCTCCATCGACACCCTAAAGCTCCGCGAGGATCCATCCACCGTCTGTGAGCCTGACAACGATGATCTAATCCGAGGCTTTGAAAACGGCTTGGTTAAGACAAGCGAAGGTGATGAAGACAGAGGTGCTGTGAGCAAGAAAGGAGCGGCCTTTAAGCCAGCTCCTAGCCTGGTGGATGACCTGCTCAGTGAGCTCAACATCTCTGAGATCCAGAAACTTAAACAGCAGCTTGTACAGGTAAGTCACTTTTTTGAAAGCAGTGTTGTTGCATCCATTTTTTTCTCAGCTCATTGACTCAAATAGATTTAACTTTCAGTTAAAAATCTATTGAACATCATAAAGTACATAAGAACACAAAAGATTGTTGATTGGGCCAAAGGTTTATTATGGTCACATATTTGAGTGGTTGCCTGCATAGATTCATCATACTTGGAGTTTACGCATTCTGCTGTTTGAAAGCTGTTGGGTATTTTAGCAGGGATTGCAGATTTACCTAAATAGACCCTAATGGTGATGAAACAAAATGACCACATTGAACATTATATTTTTTATACAGCAGCATCTGGTTGGTTAAGCTTCAGTGCAGTACCTAAAATAGTCTTTTCTTCAATTTGAACATTTATGGCAATCACTCTTCCAGTAAGCCAACTGACCACAAGACCAGATTATAAAATCCCAATGCACAGTGCTTCTCTGTTCACCGTTGAATGAATCTACAGGTTTGAAAAATAATATTTATTGACTACCCCACATTTTATTTGAAAGATGATAAAAGTTGTTGGATTTAGATTAAACTCTGAAGTTGTTTAATATATTTTTTTGGCACTGCAAAAGTAAGTGGTTAGTTTAAAATGTTGCTGCACAACATTCCTGTATGCAGAAGACAGAGCTTCTGAAACGGAATCATTGCTGAGAGTCTAGGTATATGGTTACTGATCATCAATAGCATATTATTGATTATGCATTTTTTTACATTAATTACATGTTGACATTTTTGGGATGTTTGCTGAATTCACTTTAGTTGAATTTGAGGACAGTAACTATATTGCCTTAGACTGTAGGGGACATGGAGAGAGAAAGATGCAATGTGTGATCTTCCAGCCTGTCTGAAAGGTTGTTTCTGATCTTTATTTTAATTTAGGCTGGTTCTATAAAGTTGACCAGGTGATCTTTGCCTGCCTTTGTTTTGATGTTAGGTGGAGCGTGAGAAAGTGGCCCTGATCAATTCTCTGCAGGAGAGTCAGAAGCAGCTGGAACAGGCCTATGGGACTATGTCTGAGCAAAAGGAAACTGTCAACAGGCTGACTGAGAACCTCAGCGCAATAAGGAAACTTCAGGCCAGTAAGGAGCGCCAGTCTGCCCTCGACAGTGAAAAAGACAGGGACAGCCATGATGATGGAGACTATTATGAGCTGGACATCAACGGCCCTGAGATCCTGCAGTGTAAATACACTGTGGCGGTGTCTGAAGCTGGGGAGCTGAGGCAGGAGCTGAAGACACTGAGGGAACAGTACCAGCAGTGTCAAACCCAGTATGAAGATGAGCGAGCACGGCTGGAGAGTGACGTCCAGGACTTGAGGTCGAGGTTGACGTCACTTGAGAAAATTAGCCAAGCAGATAAAGCAGAGATGGCTCGTCTGGAGAAGGAGCTCCGTCTGGTCAGTGAGGCTGCAAGAGAATCACTTGGCAGCCTTAATGTTGCCCAGGATGAGCTCATAACTTTCAGTGAAGAACTGGCCAATCTCTACAACCACGTGTGTATATGCAACAATGAGACTCCTAACCGTGTCATGCTCGACTACTACAAGGAAGGCAAGGCCATGATGAGACGGGGGCACGAAGGGAAGGAGCAGCAGTCTTCTTTGCTTATCACTGATGGGCTGATCACTGAGGCTGAACCTGGAAAATCCAACACCAGCAGCACCACACCTGGCCCAGCTCCAGTCCCAGAGCACCGCCCAGAACCCATGAACATCTATAACCTCGTAGCCATCATCAGGGACCAGATCCGCCACCTGCAGCAGGCAGTGGACCGCACCACAGAGCTGTCACGCCAGAGACTTGCCAATCTGGAGCTGAACACAGTGCCAGACAAAGACAAAGAGGCTTGCATGGAAGAGATCCTCAAACTGAAATCCCTACTAAGCACCAAAAGGGAACAGATCGCCACTCTCAGAGCTGTGCTGAAGGCCAACAAACAGGTCAGGCGACCGCTCTGTGTGTGTGTGTGTGTGTGTGTGTGTGTGCATGCTTGCTGTGTATGTTTACTCAGAGGAAGGATGTTCATTGTTTCATGAACAACAGAAAGGAGTAATTGGCTTCAGATTAAAAAAAATTACAACTGAGTTCAGACTTTCTGAAAGTGTGAGAAATTAATAATTACATAACATCTTATTCCCTGTAGACAGCTGAGGTGGCTCTGGCAAACCTGAAGAGTAAGTATGATAGTGAGAAGGCCATGGTGACTGAGACAATGATGAAGCTCCGCAATGAACTCAAGGCCCTGAAGGAGGATGCTGCCACGTTCTCCTCTCTTCGAGCCATGTTTGCTACAAGGTATGATTCTACTTAATCATTAATGGTCTTTTCATTACTGACAAACATGAAATTAACAATCATGTGGCATCCTGGTGGCCAAGTGACTAAGGGCACGCACTATAACTCATGATGTCTGTTGCACTGTAATATAGGAGATGTGGCAAAATACCAATAACCCTGATATATCTTTATATTCTGCTAAATCTGCCTCCTCTTACCATCTTTTTCTGGTAACAAAAAAGAGAAATTACAAACTTAAGTGCCTATTTTGCACAAGTGTGTGAGCGTCTGTTTGTGAGAAGGCACAAAGCATTGTGGGAACACAGTCTGATTTAATACGTGTGAGTCGGCTAGCCAGGATCTCATCCTTCCATCTGGAAAATGCTGTCTGGGAAATGAAGAAAACGTGTCAGTAGCAACAATCCAAGGCAGATTGCGCCACCTGCTGGTACTACTGTTTATCTCTGGTTTCTTTCTTCTCTGTCTCTCCCTTCTCTCAGGTGTGATGAGTATGTGACCCAGCTGGATGACATGCAGAGGCAACTGGCTGCAGCTGAGGATGAGAAGAAGACTCTGAATTCTCTGTTACGTATGGCCATCCAGCAAAAACTGGCCTTAACCCAGCGACTGGAGGACTTGGAGTTTGACCATGAGCAGGCACGCCGTAACAGTGCCACAGCGGTGGGAGGCAAGGGCAAAACAAAGGGCAAGGGAGGGTCTTCCACCCAGCATGTAAGTCAGAAGGTCTACCAGCCCAGATTCACAAAACATAACTCAGGATCCTGGGCAGAATTTACTGGATTGCCAAATATAACTATCGCTAGCTTCAGGCTGGGAACCTATGGTGCCAGTTTGTTTTAATCTCACTGTTCGTTTTGGTGGCTGAAAAGAGCTTGGGTAGAGTAACTTTAAATTAGCTGTTGTCATGGTTAAAACATTCCCTTTATATTAGTGAATGCATAACACATCTGTCCTGCTTTGACAGTCACTGTGCACTAACTTTATCAATAAATGTCACTAATGCAGTGAAAATTCGAATCAATTTAATGTGATTTTCTTGTCTCTTTATTTTTCTATTTACAGTAAATCAAACAAGCCAAGTATCCTTAAGGAGCTTCGTCAGGGTGTCTGGAAGAATTACCAGTTGTCTGGGCTCCTGGTTTCTTCGCTCTTTAATCATGGGCCAAATCATGTCATTGCTAACACAAGAGCATATCCAACAGTATTTGCCAAGGACCTTGTTCTAGAGTGCCAAAACAAATGTAACATTTGTGTCAAACAGTGTGACTGCTAAAAGTATGACTCATCACATCAGCTGCCCACCGTGGTCCTTCAGTCCAGAAATATGAACGACTGTTGCATATAACTATATCTCCTCTTTAGATCATTGAAACATAATGCAATACATTGTTTTTGTTATATGATCCTTTGAATATGGAGCTTCAGATTCATGGTCAAGATTTTATATAACTGGGCTCCACTGTTACAAACTCAAGTGTGCTTATTATGACTGAAGAGCATTAATGCAAGGCTTAAAGATTTCTAATTTAAGGTCAGATGTTCATACTGTTCATAAGCTTTATTCATGAAAGTTTAATTGTTTTAATAGTTTTTTGTAAACTTGACATCCATTGTCTATAAACAGTAACCCTACAGTGCCATTTTGTGTTAATACAAGTGCAATTTGCAAATATAGAAAAATGTTTGCTATTTAAAAATATTCTACACAGTGTTACACATACTCCTAGTTGATTTTATATGTTTTTGTAATTGCAATTGTATTTATTTGACACTCCTCAGATGACAGGATATCATTTTGTCTCATAAGGGTGACTGGTCAGAATTTAAAGAAGACTAAACTGTGGTAAAACACTAGCAAAATTGACTGTTGGCAATGGTCTCTGCTTCCAGTTGTGGCTGGTGAAGAAATAAATCTAACTTTAATAATTCTGGTGTTGGTTTTTAACAGTAAAAACATGCTAGCTATGAATTCAGTGGTTTTCAGTATAAAGTGTTATTCTGTTATTTCACTGTTGACAAATTAAGAAATTCAGATGTTTTGATTTGCTGTTTTAGCACACCAAAAGACTTTTTTGTTTATCCATATTTTAACAGTTTTTCGGGAGCTTAACAGTAATCAAAATGTACAGTGGGTACAGAAAGTATTCAGACCTCCTTAAATTTTTCACTTTGTTATATTGCAGCCATATGCTAAAATCATTTAAATTCATTTTTTCCTCATTAATGTACACACAGCACCCCATATTTACAGAAAAACACAGAATTTGA